TAAAATCTAACCAATGTGAGTAATTAGATTTTAAAATCGGTTTGATAGTATACTCGAGCTCTTTTTCTCAAGATTGACTTCAATCTTTCGTTTTATAACCGCGATAGACTTTACGAAGTATCGGCATTTCTAATCGTTGGTAAATTCCATCTGTTAAGTTCATCTAGACCTACGCTCCAACCGGACTTAAAGGAAATACTAATATATACCATAAGTTGGTTTTGATGTAAGAAATGAAGGACTTGGAAGACCACCAAAAAAGTTTTAAGACGCCAGACTGCAAACAATATTGGATGAAGATGATATTTTGAGTCAAAAACGAATGGCAGCCATGTTAAATGTAGCGCACTCATTTTTTCTTGAGCATTTACTTGAGAGCTGAAACCTAACTTTTAATTAAAAAGCCAAATATCTCGAGAAGTATTAATAATAGAGATTTTGACGTTAGACTTTTTTTAGCAAATAAAATTTCCTACAAGTTTGCCATTTACATTTTTCCTATAGCTTTTGTCATTTACGAGATATGTACAAAACAAGAGAAAACGTTAACTTCGGCTGCACCGAAGCTAATATACCCTTCACAGTTTATGTGGAAGCTATACGCTATAGTAATCCGATTTTTTCTGAGATTATATTATTACCTTAAGCAGTAATCCATGTAAAATTTCGTCAAGATACCACGTCAATTCAAAAGTTTCCATACATAGATTCCGATCGTTCAGTTTGTATGGCAGCTATATGCTATAGTTAACCGATCTGAACAATTTCTTCGGAGAGTAGATTGTTGCCTTAGAAAGTAATCTGTACCAAATTTCTTGAATATATCCTGTCAAATATAAAAGTTTTCTATACAAGAAGTTGATTCCGACTGTTCAGTTTATATGGCAGCTATTTGTTATAGTGGTCCGATATCGGCAGTTTCGACAAATGAGCAGCTTCTTGAAGAGAAAATGACGTCTGCAAAATTTCAAAACGATATCTTAAAAACTGATTGACTAGTTCGTGTATATGCAGACAGACGGACAGACGAACATGGCTAAACCGACTCAGCTCAACATACTGACCATTTATATATATACTTTATAGGTTCTCCGACGCTTCCTTCTGGGTGTTACAAATTTCTTAACAAACTTCAGGGTATAAAAATGCGAATTTTGTGGAAAAATCAGGTTTAGAGCCCCGTACTACCTCGCCGGTGTGAGTTATGACTTTGTCACAATGGGCACTTTTGTAGAGTGTCAATTCTGAGGAATATATGTGAAATTTAAATATAACAAATCACGATTATAGTGCATTTTCAATGGAAAAGTTGTGCATGCCTTGAACCAGTTCTTAATGTTAATATTAAGGGCTCAAATTTTTAGGGATTTTTTTTAGAGTATTTCCAAGGAAACTTCATGATGGGACTGAAAAAAGTTAACAGTTCAAAATAAAAATAAAAAACACCCTAATATATATTAAATATTGTAGTAACGTAAACCAGACTATAATGAGCATGAGCATGATCAGGTCTATCCGTATACTTAGCTTCGACTATCTGTCGTAAACTAGGACCGTTTTCTAAATGCCTGATTAGCAGCAATCTGCCAACTAATTTCTGGTTAATTAAACCAATACTTGCTTCTTTCGGTAAATAATCTTTTTTTAACCAGAGCTCAACTGACAAGTGATTGCTGACCCGACATTAAGAAAAACAGCTCTAAAAGTGCTAGTCAACGGTAGAAAACGTTTTGGGAGAATTTTTATTTTGTAACATAGTGTATGTAATTGCGTACCTTTCTATTAGATTGTTTTCGAAGAAATCATACGATAATGATTGAATGAATGCTGTTTATGAACTTTTACTACTTTTGAGTTTTTTCTTTCTGTTGCCAAAACAAGTAACTTTATATATGCGTATGTATATATGTACTAACCCATACCTAAATTAGTTAGCAAGTCTTTAAAGCACAGCGAGCTCTTCTTGAACTACACATACTGTGTTAGTGTATTGTTGGTAACTGTATATGCTTTCTTAGATATCGTACTACGTACTAGCTAAGTAATTACGTATCGTATGCACTGTAATGAACTTGAACTTAATCAGCAACAACAAGGAAAATTTCACACATTATCTTTGTTGTTGTTTTCAGAAGTCATTAGCTCAAAGCAAATCATGCTCTTCACTAATCGCTTCGTTGCGAAGACAAATACTCGCACTAAACAATAAAGATACAAGTATCTGCGGCTTCTGTACCTAAGCAAGGTGCGAGGGCAGCTGCTTTAACTGATTGTATTTTATATGAAGAGATGTTTGCAAATCCTATACTAAATTCAAAGTATTAGACAATTGCGTTACAATTTTAAATTGCGTCACTATTTTCGGTTAAGAGGAAGATCTATGGAGAGGAAGATGTCATTGAGTGAAATGCGAGAAAGCTTCAATAAAAGCTCTCTATATACAACAAAATAAAAATGTAGTAATTTTTTGACATTTTCCAATCGGATAAGTGTCTTAATCTGATTACACATTTAACGTAATGATAATCATGTAAATATTAAGATTGATAAGCAACCAGATACCCAGGAAGTCACGATTACGGAAACACTAAACCATTGAAAGAATTGTCGTGGAAATTAAACCGTACAAACCGTCCAACTCATAAGCTTATAAGCGCTTAAGAGATGAACGAATACACACATACACAGCAGTTTCGGTTAGATTTATCATTTCGTGAAAGCTCATAGAAACTTTAACCAATATTTTTACTGAATTTTTTTGTGTAATTTACCAATGACTTAACCGTTAGTTGTCTTACTGTGATCGGAGATATGTTGTACTCGTTTGCTTTAGCGAATCTCCTTCACCTTTTACTCGAAATATATTTAGCAACGGAAAAATTGTATAACAATTTCAATACCACACAGATATCATACAGATTTAGACTGCTGTTTTATAAATAAATAAATTTAATATATAAATAAATACCATATATTTATAAAAAAAATTATATACTAAAAGTAAATACATAAAAACAAATTCGTAACATCTCTGACACTTTTATGACACATCTGTCGAGGGATTCCACTTTTTTGCATTTACCACAGCAAAAAAAAGCGCCAATGTCAGAGAAAACGTTATGTACTGACGTAAATATGCCTAATGGAGCAATTGATCCCGAAAATTGGGCTTAACGAGATTTTCGGAATTTTTTGAAACGGGATTTGATGAGATACGATGAAATTAAAATATTTATAGAGAAAATCCATCAAATATATTTTTATAAATAGACTTCTCCATCCAACTGTCCAAATAAAAAGGCGACATATCTGACACCTTTATGACACTTGAATCGCGGGATTTCACTTTTTTGCACCTACCACTGCAAAAAGAAGCATCAATGTCAGAGAAAATGTTACGTACTTACGCAAATATGCTCAACAGAGCAGTTAATCCCGAAATTATGATAAACGGGACTTAGAAACGTTCTGTTTGGAGTAAAATATTTTTTTCGTGTTAATAACGGGTCTCCATCAAATTTATTTTTTTTTAATTTTCTACTCCATCCAACTGTCTTAATAATGAGCCCACATCAGCTAATAACCACGCCCATTATACAGTTACAAAAAATGAAATTGTTCTTACTTTAAACTAACAGAAATAGAAAATATTCGCTTCCGTCTGCACTTAGCACCTCCTTACTTGCAATTATTCGGTTAAAAGCTTCATCCAAATACTTTAACTTAATCGCCGCTGACAAATATTTACATACATCTGGTACATACTCGTATGTATATATCACACTTTCAACTATTAACAATGAGCTATTGACTTTTTCTATTTAATAGAAAAACATTTTAATAAATTATAAAAATTAATCGCAACTTTAGCTGGACTGAATTAAATGAATGACAAACACGTGTTGAGGAGAAGTTGTTTACGATGGCATTAGCTTTATGAGAGTGGCTTTTAGAGTCAACTTGTAAAGGGCTTGGCTGCTGTAAAAGGCTTTAAGAAGGTCTAGTGACTATTTATGCTTGTTTAAAGTGATCCCGAAGTTACGTTTCTGTGTGATAACTTTCGTAAATGAAGTTTCGTAAGGTTTTTAGAGGTTTTGTTGTTCGCTCTTTTTTTTAATTTCAGAGGAATTATTTCGTATTTATATTAAAAAGCTTCCAAATAACATATTAACAAGAATATTTCTCAAATTTGGTATTCCTAACCAAATTTCGTATACGAAATCGGTGCGAATGTTCGAAAAAGCTTACTGTGGTTCAGTTTTATTAAAAATACAAGCCTACGAATGATATCAAAATGTCAAAAACGCTCGAGTGATCGTTGAAGACATGCGTTTTGGACGATCTTCGACCTCTTCAACAGATGAAAATATTAAAAAAGTGAAGGATATGGTGCTTGAAAAACGTCTCGACAGTCCGTTTGAATGATTTTGGTGGATATTTTGCGAATGAAATATGTTCCTGCTCGACATCTCAAATTGCCGCTCCTTGGATCCCGTTGTCAGTTGAACGAAGAAATAAAAAAAAATCGATGAAGGAGCTGCAGGCCATTCCAAAAAGTTCTCATGAAAAGTGTTTCGAGGACTGGAAAAATCGTTGTCATGTGTGTACTACATGTGTCTTGGATTACTTTATAGGCGATAAAATAAATATTGAAAAATAGTTCAATACTTTGCGTTTTATTTACAATTTCCGTGTACATATTTTATCACAATGCAATTTCAAAATGATGAAATAGCGGAATTGGCTGAAAAATTAAGCAAACTTATAATCATTCCATCAATCCCGAAGCTCGCCGCTTGCTTTCACTTTCACATCACTAATGAAAACTGTATACGTTATAGACCTTTTCTTAAGCTTTAGTGATGAAATGCGATTTTTGTTTTGAGATAAAAATGCAAGTAGAAAAGCAAAGCAAATATTTAAATAAGCGAATGAAGCGCGCTAAGATTTTATTTATGTACAATATTTGGCAATTGTGTTTGAGTTTTGAGTAGTGTGAACCGACAGTACACCGCCGCCAGTGATGGAGTACACAAGTCGGAATTCCGTTACCAAGCACCAAAGAGACACGCAAATAAACTAAGAGAAATCCAATAGCAAATCCTACATACGCACACGCACACGCACACGCACTCGTACAAATCTGTGATTAAGCGCAACTAGTTTAACGGTTAAACTGGTTTTCTGTGCAAAATTGTAACGCTGTAAAAGAAAAAGCCAAAATATGTTGTTAAATTTGTGTAAAAATTCACAAGGCGTTTTTCGCGCTGAATTTCGAACACAATTGTTGGCGGCAGCGAGCGGTAAATACATAAAAAAAAATGCAAAAGATAGTTACACGCGAAGTGGAGGCATGAAAAGTGGAAAGTGGTTCGGTGCATTATTATATAATAATATTATAAAATTTGCATTTATTTGTTAAATGCTGCAAAGTGTGGGTTCAATATTGGAGTTAGTGGAATGCGCTAAAAAATTTTGCATAAATAAAAAATATTGTTTCATAAAGATTAAAAATATTTTTTTGTTTAAGCTAAAATATGGCATTTGTCCAAAAAAAGTTTGAAATAAAAACGAAAATTATAACAAATAAAACAAAAAAATATATAGACGGAAAAAATGGTTAAAAATAAAGAAACTAATAATAAAAATATTTTTATGTCAAAATATGATTTAAAAAATAAAAAAAATAATAGGTTGTCAAAAAAGTCTTGCGGTATTTTTTATTGAATTTTCAATTGTTCATAAATTTTTTTTTGATGACTCATGCCCAGCTCTGGACCGATGCTACGGCTGCTAATATGTCGGTCTCTTTCGACCAATACAGCGATTTTATCGCAATTTTCGACGATAGGCCTTCCGGAGCGTGGCGCATCTTCGACCACCTCTACACCATAACGAAAACGTTGAAACCATCGTTTTGTGGTGGAAATGGAAACTGTATCGGGCCCATAAACTGCACAAATTTTATTGGCGGCTTGAGATGCAGTTTTGCCTTTATCGTAGTAGTACTGTAAAATTTGCCGTATTTTCTCTTTATTTTGCTCCATGCTTGCGGCGCTATAACTCACGAACGACTTAAAAGAAACAACAATCAATCAAACAACAACAATTAGCGCGTGAAATGGGCTTTCAAAAAGGTATAGCATGACCCGATGCGACGAATAAAACTAGAACTACGCGCTCTCAGCGCCAACTAGCGAAAATACCGCAAAATTTTTTTGACAACCT